ATGATGTGTTATATATATAGTTTGGTTTTTGAGTTTACTTACTGATTAATTATATTATATTACAAGTTACAGCTTTTACAGTCAGTAAGATTTGTTGTTAGAACAGTAAAAGCTGTAACTTGTAATATGATGTGTTATATATATAGTTTGGTTTTTGAGTTTACTTACTGATTAACACATCATATTACAAGTTACAGCTTTTACTGTTCTAACAACAAGTCTTACTGACAGTAAAAGCTGTAACTTGTAATATAATATAATTAATCAGTAAGTAAACTCAAAAACCAAACTATATATAGTATGTTTACTACCATTTCAGACACCAGCTGGAAGCTGCTTTCTTTATGGCACAAGAAAACCATGCTGATGTCCTGCAGGATATGGGCATTCAGACATTGGTCCAAGGGAAGCTGACCAACCATGATGACCTTGAGAAGGTCATAAGTGGCATCACATCTCAGGATATATCAAATGTAAGTTTCTTGCATTTCACAAATGAGTAAAAATGAAATTAAATCTTTTTTTTTACGTACTTGGCTTCTGCACACATTAATTGTCATGGGTTTGCTATACATTGTCTAATTGTTGAACATCTAATCTGTGCAAAGTTGTTTAATGCAACTCTCTAAGTGGTTCACGTGCAACTTTGACCCAGGGTTAAAAGGAACTGTTAATTCTACTCGATGATAACTGCTGAATCTGGGCGTAGTATTATCAGTTGCAGGTACTTACTATGCTACCAACTACCAGCATTTATGACTCTGCCACTGGCTTATGTCTTATGAATATATATTAATAAACTTGGCACATCAAAGTGTAGTTTAAAATTAAAGTTTTAGTTTTAAAAGGAAATATCTAAAATAATTCTCAGTCTTGATAGCTGTGTCATGTGATGAGTCTGCACTTTGATTTCTCCCCTATAGGCCTTATAACTTCCTCGATAAAGCTTTCAAATATTCAACCAGAAACACATATAATACACGAAAGCAAGAATATCAACTTTGAGCCTCCTATCTCCTTGATTTGTTGAAATATCAATAAATTTGTCAAACCCACCATAGAAGCATCTTTCATCTCTCTCCAGCTTTCAAGACAATACGTCAACACATTTATAAAGACTGGAAAAAGCATACTGTTCACTACAAAAATTAAACTTTAGTTATTTCCTTTTGGTGACCATACATAAACAGTTGTTCTTACATCATTTGTCTGTAATCATTGTTGTTCAACTACAAGCAACTAATGAATTTATTTCAACCTAATTATAGCTTAGATAAAATACCAGTTAAACTACAGTAGTTTTAGAATGTTCTGTTCTACTGCCTTTTATATTTTTGTGTTCTAAAATGTATATTTCTAACAGACTTACTGAAAACAAGTGAGACCTAGCACAGTTACACTTGAAAGTGCAAGGATCATGCACTTTGCTCGTGGTGTTTATGACAGATGGCTCTCACTCTGATTTATTGGTTTTTTTTGGAGAAGACAGTTGTCTAAAGTACAAGTATTAAAACTATAAATTTAAAAGAAAACAGAGCTGAAAAAGTTACCAATTGATTTGTTTGCTTTTTGTTAAGCACAAAGTTACACAATGGGACGTTTGTGCTGTGCCCACCAAGGATATAAAAATTATGAAATATATCTTTAGTAAAAATACTTTATTAAAAGAATCAATTTTTTTTTGTGCACAATAAATTTATAAAGTTCACTAAAACTTGCCAAAGATACAATAAGTAAATTCAGAATTATAGTAAACATAACTACATTCATCTTCACGGATACAGTTGTCCGCTCAAGGGATTGAACTCTTACTGTTTGTCACGTAGCATACACTATATTCACCAATAATATTTAAACATTTTCACCACATCACTACACTTGGATAATACGTTACATGTAACCAAAGAACTGAGCTCCTGTGGAGTATAAAGTACTTATATACAAGTTATGTGTTAAGTTGTTCTTTACTTCACCACCTAAACCTTTATATAATTACATACAAGTGTTAAGTTGTTCTTTACTTCACAATCTAAACCTTTAAACACTTATATACAAGTTATGTGTTAAGTTGTTCTTTACTTCACCACCTAAACCTTTAAACACCTTACACAGGTATTTGAACAATGTGTAGCATTAACACTATTTATTCATTATTTTAAATTATTAAGCAGAAAACCTTCTTTTGTGTTGTCCAGGCTCAACGATGACAGGTGGAATCCCCCCCCCCCAAAAAAAAACTTGATGGTAAATGGCCAATGAAATTATACTACACATCTACCGTTCTTCCTTACCATATTCAAAATGTCAGTGATGAGAAAAATATATTACATTGTTTTCATGGAAGTATTCTCAACAACTTAGTATCTTTAATGAATAACCTTATTTCATTACAGTGGGTTATATAACAGTCTAGTAACAGGATGTCTACAGACTTTGGGTGATACAAAACAACAAACGGAAGTCAGCTACAAGAGTAAAATACAGGATTTAACGTTATTTTTATTAAATAAGATCCCCTACTAACAAATTTGTTATTAATTCAAACAATATTCCTATCTTTAGTTTACGTTCAATTAGTTATAAGATGACACAAGTAGCTTCTTACTTAGCATTCTTTAGATCCTGGTCGGTTACTTTCTTGACTGTACTACGCATCTCAGTCACGAGGGATTTTAATAACTGTTTGAAAAACAAGAGTACGATTTTTAAGGTGACATTAAACAATTCTCGACGTTTAAAGCTACAGATCTTCAAATACAATTTCAAAACTTCTGTACAAGTTTTTTTCTTAGCTGTGATACAGAGTTACTAACTTCGTGTATAACACTAGAAACCTTTTACAAAACTCTTTACGATAACGTGAATTGCTTGTAAGGTTGGTTACAGATCAAACTTTATGAATAATTTAAATATGATATGCATTTAGTTTATTATGAATATACAATACTTTACAGAATTAAGGAAAAAAAAACAAGACTACCGTAGATTTTACAAATACTTCATACATTACGACTATGGTTTCACCAGTAAAAGCACCACCAGGTACAATAGTATTTGGTATTGTTGTTCTTGCAATGCCTTTAAAAGCCTACTTCAAGTCAACATTTGGTTCATAACAATACTATGTGATGTAAAGATACAATAATATTACTTAAGTTTCTGTAGTACAAGTACATACGAGACAGTCACCATTATTAGGTTATGTTTGTTTTTAAATCTTGAAATATCACTGAAACATCACAAAAACTGGTATAATTTACTGTACTTGGTATATATTAAATAAGTTTTCAAGACATTTTATTTTGCTTTTTCAGTTGTATTACTCCATAAATCAGTTTGTTTGTTTTGAATTTCGCACAAAACTACACGAGGGCTATCTACGCTAGCCACCCCTAATTTTGAAGTGTAAGACTAGAGGGAAGGTAGCTAGTCATCACCACCCACCGTCAACTCTTGGGCTACTCTTTTACCGTCACGTTATAACGTCTTCACAGCTGAAAGGACGAGCATGTTTTGTAGGGTGGGGATTCGAACCCACGACCCTCAGAATGCGAGTCGAGCGCCCTAACCACCTGGCCATAAATCAGTTTACGAGAGCAACTCAGAGACAGAGTTTGTTCTGGTAATGAATGACATATTCGAAACCAATGTTTAAATTATGACATTATTAAAAGATTTTCTAGTGTCAGGACTTCAGCATTTGTGTTAATAAAAATCATTAACCCAGAAATGAAATTATGTCTGAAACACATCTTTTGAAACTAAACCATGAAAACTACTAAGTGTTTTAGAACACCAGACTGATTTGGTAAACTTAAAATTACTAATGAAATACAAACCACTAAATGACATATTGTTAAGTTACATGCCTGTAACCGTTGATCCGAAACCCAAGTTATGCTCTCGATCACTTTGTTCTTAGAAATTATGCAACAAGATATATATTATATAATATTAAAACAGACAGTATTCATCTCAATATATATATTACTTATAAAAGATGTAAACCTTTTAAAAATTATGTACAGATAAAAATGTTCAAAACTTCACGATGTCACTTGTGCCTGTAAAAAAAAAAAATGAGATAAAAGAATGGAAAGGATTAACAAAATATCACAAAATTTTCTTCATAGTTTTTAACACCCGTATAAGTATTAAAATTGTACTGTTTCTTAATATAGCATAAAATCATAAACAAAATGTGTGGTTGAAACCTTACCTTATCCATACAGCTGTGTTGTCCAGCCACAACGAAACCAAACAGACCACTGTCCGAGTAATTGACGTTTAAACTGGACACCTGTAACATTAAAAATTCGTAGCATTTCTTTGTTTATAAACACAAAACTTGTTAGAGATACTGAAGATCCTGGGGGGGGGGGCACAAGTAACAAGTAGGATTACAATGTCTATAAAGATTTAAATGTCATAAAAATTTAATACTTGAGAACAAAATACAAGTTCTTAGGAAGCATACAAAGAAGGCTGTAGTGAGATAAACTAAACAATGAATAATTCAGATACTCGTTAAATGCTCAAATGAAGAAAAAAAATCTAATTCTTTTCAATGCAAGACAAAAAGCACAATGATAAAAAAAAAGTATCTGAAATAAACATTTGTTCCCATAAAGCTTTAATTATATGAACTTTTTTCTTCTTCTTTATATTATTTGTTTACCCCAATCTCTGCGATTGCAAAATGCATATGATGAACGGTCACAAACGTCATATAATTTGGTGCTATAAATTACCTTAATTTATACAATGAACAACAGCTTATGAATCACGAACCCTCAAATAAAAATCTTCAATATTTCATTAATTAATAAACAATATGACGTATAATACACTAGATATATTTTTATAAGCACTATTGATTTTAATTTATGATATAAAATAATACTGCACTATTTCTTGAGAACTTTCCACTTGCACTTATAACTTTTACCATGAACATATACGCCTGGTTTTTACAGAAGTCCACCTAAAGAAATCAGAGTCAAAGTTCAGTAAGTCTTTACTGTCATTGTCTAAACTAATCCTGATAAGGCTGTCTATTAAAATCATAAATAATATTCAACATTAAACTGGTACACAATCAAAAACATTTTATTTAGGCCTATCTATGGCCTTCAAAAAGTTGACGACTCTACATGTTTCGATGTTACAATGTCTTATAAGGTTGTCTATTGTCTAAACTAATCCCGATAAGGTTGTCCATTGTCTAAACTAATCCCGATAAGGTTGTCCATTGTCTAAACTAATCCCGATAAGGTTATCCAATGTCTAAACTCATCCCGATAAAGTTGTCCATTGTCTAAACTAATCCCGATAAGGTTGTCCATTGTCTAAACTAATCCCGAAAAGGTTGTCCATTGTCTAAACTAATCCCGATAAGGTTGTCCATTGTCTAAACTAATCCCAATAAGGTTGTCCATTGTCTAAACTAATCCCAATAAGGTTGTCCATTGTCTAAACTAATTCCGATAAGGTTGTCTATGCTGGAAGTGCTCAGTTTATTCATTGCTTGTTTACCTTAAAGTTTTCAAGTGTAATTTAACCTTGATTCAACTTGCAGTTCATTTTCAAGATATGTTTAAACTCTTTCCAATAATTAAACCTCACTCAAATATATAACAAAATGAAAAGTACGACTTTATTTGAGTATAGAAAAAGCATCAACCACAAAATGACGTATACGATTTAAGGGTATTGGAAAATGTACATATAATAAATGATTGAAGGTTAATATAAATTATTTATTGAAAACTGGCCACGTTAACAGGATTAGGGAATATTTTGCCTATTAGAATAAGATATATTCTACTTCTACAACCAAAACAAAAACTTAGCATGTTGGTTGAGACAGTCTACACTTAGTGATTTTAGAAATAAGATTAATACTTATCAATTAAAGAAAAAATATATAACTCTTGGACCCTTCTGTTTTTGTGTTTGGTAAGAACCTTTTCCTTTAGTTGTGAATGAATTAATCACTTATGCTTTGATACAAAACATAGCTTTTACTTTGCTGGCATATCTCTGTCACAGATGTTTGAATTTAAGTATACTTGACATCTGTGGTGCATCAGGTGTAACATTAAATTGTAGCTGATTGACAGACAAAGTTCTTGACGAGGATTTATAAATGTTGGGAAGGTTTCACTGACTAAGTTCTCTACGGCAGCTGAACAGAAACTAATGGTAGACAGTATAAAACACTGACTGTAAACGTTTAGTTTACTCCTTCCCACTTATGTGAATTTCTGAATTTTAAGCTAAGAAATGACAATTGGTTTACGTTTTTCAGACTTGATTGCTGTTTTTTGTTAACAATTACTAAACTTAGTTTAGGAGAAACCATAGAAGGATCACACAGGAAATGATAATATAGCTTCACACGATCAGTGATAATAAAAACTCGTTAGACGTAACTATAACATCTAATGGCTTCGATTAGTTCTTACACCATGGAAATGACATTTATGCAATACACATAAGCAGGATGAAATTAATAAGAACTCATGGAAGTTATATGACTTTTACTTTTGTTAGAGACAAAATACAGCATTTGGCAATTGGTTTTCCATCAACAGTTACTACCAGTAAAATTTGAACATCAATGATTCATTCACATCATAGTTAAAACATTACATCTGTTAACCGTACAAATAAAACATTTTGGTAAAGCCAAGAGAAGCGTCCGAGTACCCACAACCTGTTTCTTAAGCTTTGAGACAAATAAATATATCTCAAGTTACACTAAAAACACTTTGAAAGTTAAAATTAAAACCTAGAGTAATAATCATTGTATCATAATGAAGAGGTAGAGCCATTGACTCCATCAAAGAAATTAATTAAAAACAAACATATTATACGAGAGACATGAGACTACCTACACCAAATGGTTCATTTGTAGCTTTAGCTCCTGCACTGCTGAGCTTTGAGTGCAGTCCCTCACTGTATTTTATAGTTGGTCCCACTCCAAGGATCCTCTGGAGCATGGCTAAACATAACATCTCTTTCAGATTTGTCAGACTAGAAATAACCAAATATTTCATGTTTTAAGTACTGCCTTAATTATCAAGGTTTGTGTAACAAGACACACAGGAAGACAGGCCTCATAGGATTTTTGCATCAAAGTAAAATCTTTTCAAAACACAGGGAATTAGAATCACAAACATAACTAGCATTTATTTCTATGATACGTACCTAACAAATCTTTGCAATTTCTTAAATATAAAATACAATTTCAATCAAAATAAAACAAAAAATAGCAGGTCTTTAGTATAATGGACACACGAGAAAAAAACTATTTACCTTGCACCTTCGGCTACAACTGCAGCATAGCTGATGGGACCCGCCGACTCCACACGAACTTCCCCTGTAAGTAATTCAGGAAAACGATGTATCTTATGATATAGAATGGTCTTTACACTTGAGACAATTTCTGAAAGTCTTCGTAAATTAGGTTAGATACAATATCCTAAAGAAGTACTTCTAAACGATCACACATGAAAAAAATAAAAACAATTTTCAAGCACAATCTCAGAAAATCAATAACAATGGTGCAACTTAAATTTAAAATGGCTCATAATATGAGTATTACACACAAAGAAACTGACAGATGGCTTTTCTTTTTAAATCATAATTAATGAGGTCATAGCAGTATAAAACCTAGTTAACAGAAAAACAAAACACGAACTTTCTGTTTCCAACAGTGGACAATAAACCATGTTGTAGGTCTTCTATAAAACCTAGTTAACAGAAAAAAAAAAACATGAACTTTCTGTTTCCAACAACGTAGTTCTTCTATAAAACCTAGTTAACAGAAAAACAAAGCATGAACTTTCTGTTTCCAACAACGTAGTTCTTCTATAAAACCTAGTTAACAGGAAAACAAAACATGAACTTTCTGTTTCCAACAACGTAGTTTTTCTATAAAACCTAGTTAACAGAAAAACAAAACACAAACTTTGTTTCCAACAACGTAGTTCTTCTACTATAAAAATACTAAATTATTTCACACATTCAGCCAGTTGTTTTTTTATTTGCATATCAAAGATTTCTTAAGTTATTATGATGTTAATGAGGGAGCAGCATGGCTCAGTGACTTTGTGCTTTGGTCTCATAGTCAGATGGCTGGAAATTCAAGGCTAGCTCACATTGTGCTGTTGTGTCCTTAAGCAAGACATTTTAACCCAGTTGTGTCAGTCTATTCAGCCGTATGATGTGTTCCAGTTGTTAGCTGGCGGTTAACCTGCAATAAACTAGCATCCTGTTCAGTAGAGGGAGGGGGTGGGAGGTGCCACCATTCTCTTTTGCATGTACCACTTAAGCCGATGTTCAGCAAAGATCAGAAGTCTACACCACAGGTCTCAAAGCAAACAGTAAAGATCAGAAGTCTACACCACAGATGTCAAAGCAAACAGTAAAGATCAGAAGTCTACACCAAAGGTGTCAAAGCAAACAGTAAAGATCAGAAGTCTACACCACAGGTCTCAAAGCAAACAGTAAAGATCAGAAGTCTACACCACAGGTCTCAAAGCAAACAGTAAAGATCAGGTTAATGAATTGATGAATATTTATAACAGTAAAATAGTCAGGCCTTTGAAGTAGTTCGTGAGTCACGCAGATATGATAAACTATCTCCCATATTCTTCATCAGTACATTTCTTGTTCAGTTTTGATGATCATAAGTTAGAGTAAGTACCAGCAGTTCACTGAGAAACGTATACGTTAAGGAAAATATTAGTTCAAAAATTGAATCGTTATTTCAAGGCAGTGATTGGGAATTTTTAAGTGATCTCGTATACTAAGTTTAAACTTAAGTGTTCTGTATTAAACTTAGTAATATAAAGTGTTATTTTTCCCTTTTTAATACCAATGTTATTGATTTTACAGTAGCCTAATAACATTCAAATTGTTGAGTTAGATGTTAAAAACCATTTTTTCATATTGTTATAATATAATTTTTAACATTTACAAACTGAAGAGAATATTTACATTATAGGAATGAGCTTCTTCTATGTACAATAGATTCTGTAGCATAAGTGTTAATTATGACAACAAACATCACAGTTTTCACCTGCTCTAAATATGCACTGATTTATGAAGTAATTGCCTTTTGTTTTTTTAAACTTTCCAGAATTAATGATCCCTGAAATAGTTAGATATGGAAAGATGCATGCTTTAAAAAAATCTAATATTAAAGTATCTTTACTGTTTGCTTTGATACCTGTAGTGTAGACTTTTATATTAACATTCAGTTCAAAAGTCAGCAATATTCCTATATCTATATTAATCAAAATATCTGTTAATAAATGTGGTATACTAATTTACACACAGAAACAATACTTAGGTTATTCTTCAACGCGAAATCCAATGACATAAAGATGGCTGGTGAAGAAACAAATTCTATTCACATTTTCTTCCAGTTAAAAAAATGTTAACGTAACAGATAAACTTTCCATAATCTCATATTACAGGTCATATACAACAAAACCAAACACGTTTGTAATGAAGTACTTGGTCGAATCAATCGATCTTTTTATAGCACGTGTTATTAATCAATATGTGTAAGAACGTAATCTAGGAAGGCTGGGCAAACAACTTTACGTAAAATGAACTTAGCAGTTTATTATAAGTTGTCAATAATTATACAAGGTGGAGTATTATGTCAATATTTTGGGATAAATCAGTTTGTTAAAACCAATGACTTATAGAATACAAAAATACACGATTCATGCATTGCTTTTTTTTTGTAAACAAACCTCATGTTTTAATGCTGTTGATATTTTAACATGTATTTGTTTAGGAGCCGAGTTGCTTTACACAACTGTAGCCTAAGTCATGCTAATGATTCATGCATTGCTTTTTTTTGTAAACAAACCTCATGTTTTAATGCTGTTGATATTTTAACATGTATTTGTTTAGGAGCTGAGTTGCTTTATACAACTGTAGCCTAAGTCATGCTAATGATTCATGCATTGCTTTTTTTTGTAAACAAACCTCATGTTTTAATGCTGTTGATATTTTAACATGTATTTGTTTAGGAGCCGAGTTGCTTTACACAACTGTAGCCTAAGTCATGCTAATGATTGCGAGATATAAATTGGTGCCTACTGCAAGTACAGATGTTTCGTGTTCAGTAACGATTACTTCTTTTCTGTTCTGATCAACCCCCATTCGACCCCTGTGGAGTTACGTATGAATTACTGAATCACGTATCCACAGGAAAAACATTTAAAAAAATATAGCTGTTCGGATTTGAAACACGAGTATACAAATTACTGATTATATTTCTCGGTGTGAAGATCTGTCTATGAGCAAAAAAAAAATGCAAACTTTTGATGTCCGGATTAATAGTGTTCGTTGTATACAAACTGTACATGCATTTAATTATTTTAAATATTTCATAAACGAAACCTACCTCCTCCGTACTTTGATGAGCCCACATCAGTAGTTCCTTTCCCATTCTCAAAGTGAAACAAATTCTCCACTTGTTCAACAAACAAATCGTGATCCACACCTAAGCCTACTACTGTAGCTCTTCCTGTTGTAAATGTATCCTTTACATAGCTCTGAAGCTAGAAAGAAAAAAACAATCAAAACTCAAACCTTTTGCAGTATGTTTTCTAATGTTAACTACATATACATTTGACAGCTTCAAACATATCTTGGTTATGTTATGAACTGATCATGTCTTTGTTACATGATTAACTTATCCATGTCTTTGTCATGTCATGAACTGCTAAATGTTTCTGTCATGTCATGAACTGCTACACATGTTACATTATGAACTGTTACACATCTGTTACATTATGAACTGATCCATGTCTTTGTCATTTCATGAACTGCTACACATGTTACATTATGAACTGTCACACATCTGTTACATTATGAACTGTTACACATCTGTTACATTATGAACTGTCACACATCTGTTACATTATAAACTGTTACACATCTGTTACATTATGAACTGCTATACATATGTTACATTATGAACTGTCACACATATGTTACATTATGAACTGTTACACATCTGTTACATTATAAAAGCAGTTCATAATGTAACAGATGTGTAACAGTTCATAATGTAACATATGTATAGCAGTTCATAATGTAACAGATGTGTAACAGTTCATAATGTAACATATGTATAGCAGTTCATGATTTTTAGCATAGGACTGGTGCAAGATTAGGACATCATTTAAAATATGAAAATCTCAATCACGGTTATTTGTCAAAACAAAAATTCTTAAAAGCATCAAGGATGCCTACTGGAAGAAGGAATTTTGAGTTTACATAAAAATCTTGCCTTGGCTGTGTACCTTACAACATGATTTCAAACCACATAACTAAATCATATTTATTAGATTTAAATGATGTTTGCAGGGAAAATATTGTATTCATAATTTTTTCAAACTTAATTTTGGAAATAAAAAAGTATTAATGCAGATCGCTAGAAACTTGAAATAATTATGTCTTCAAGACCGAAAAACATCTGTTAAGTCTATTCTTAAGATGTGAAGGTACAGTTTTTTTTTGTTTTTTTTACTGGATCAGAAGGATCAGGCCCTAAAGTGATCTTCGTACTTGTGATTTGATCAGTTTGGATTGATTAACACACATGCAAAAACAATTTAAAATATTCTTTCTTTGTTATCAACAGAACAATGTAATCACTACAGAAAGAACATTTACAAACTGTTCAGAATGTACGTAAAAAAAACGAAAGTCTGAATTACTTTCTCTACATAAAAAGTAACGGCTGAAATTATGATTTCCGTTCCTAAAAAACTACGATGAAAATGACAAGTTCTTACCATTTCAGAATTGTGCTTTCCTATCATAAAATCGGGGGAGTATAAAGAATGACTCAAACCACCGATAAAAGCAGCATGGTGGAGAGCCTCCATCAACACTACCAGTAACAAAACAATAATTATTAATAAAGCACTTATACATCACTGCATTACTTCTAAATATTACCCGAACTTTAATAAAGTCACTAGTAGTTGTAAACAAGATTCTAACAGACTTAAAAGTTTCAAAGTTTTAAACAGTGAAGGAATAAGTTGTTTTAAAACAAACTTTTCTGCTACTATTAATGACTAATCTCCTAACATAATGATAAAACCAGAATAAAAATTTGACTATATTACGTCTCTTACGATATAAACACTAGAATTTGGAAGAAAACTTGCATTAAAACCTACCAGCTTGGGGTTGATCCTTAAAAAGAGCCAAATCTACTTTCATTCTCGGGGCAAAGTCTCCTAACTCCCACGGCTTGAATGCATGTTGAGAAGTAACTTCAGCTAGGTACTGTAGCCCTTTCTCACTAACGTAAATACGTTAAGATAATATATTATGTAAAAATGATATATATAACAGGACATATACAGAGGTTAACACTTTCTGGGCCAGGCAAACGGGTATAACTGATATCCGTTGACTTTTTCCTTCAAGCAGTGGAGATACTTATAACCAAACTGCACGAAACTTACGTCATGTCTAATAATAATATCTAGCTCCGTTAATAAAAAAGTAATAATAATATGACTGTTTTTTTTATGTTGTGGAATTAGAAAAATTTTGACACTGCTTTGGAAAGAACAAAAATGGAAAATATTTTCTTCCATCTTACAATTTCTATATGATTTAAATTTTTATTTTTCATCGGGAAGTTCCATTTTATACATTCAGTCAATTTCAGCTTGACCGATTTACCTTAAAATATTTCTTGTGAAACCATACATCACTTCTCAAAATACTTTACTCACTGTACACTGACATAAATAGTTTATAATGTGCTATATTCAGTGGTATTAAAACTTTGCCTGTAACGTTTTTCAAAGCCGTTTTCATTAGTAGTTGTTCAGACACTTTTAAGACCTCACACCACGTGATGTGAATAGAGGTCTGGAGTAATAAATTGTGAGACAGAAAAGGAAAGTCACGTGAGAAAGAGACTTTGTTAGTTGTATTTTCAGGAAATAGTTTCTTAGAGAATAAAAATCGGTGCTCTGGGATGGGCACAAAATTTTTAAATATATCAAAGTTTGTCGTTTACCAGTGAAACTCGTTGTAGCTGTGCAGAAAAAGAAATGTGCATATGAAATTTTTTCATTTCATTTTTTTTTAAATTACTCTGAGTAAATGTAATAAAATAACAAATTATAAATTCTAAAACATTTTTACTTAAATGTTTGTAATTTGATATGCAAGTGTGCACTCAACACTTGAAAGGTGCTCGCTGGTCTGGAAAGGATTAACAATGTTTCACGTGAACAAAAACGCAAATTGAGGAAGCAGGTCTGTAGGTAGTGCGAGACCTGGAACATCATTCTAATAAAGTGCAATCATCACTTGCATTAATTTTTACAAATATTAAAAAAAAAACGATATGTAGACTTAGACTTAATAAATCATTCAGAAGAACAACTTATGTTCCCCAAAGAAAAGGAATAAAATCCACTTAGCCTACGTCATTTTGGTACTATGCACTGCTAAGACTTACCAGAATTCTTTAATATTCCTTAGAAACTTAACACAAGTGTGCAGAGATAACAAGCTTATTTTATAAAATTTTGTGACGTAAAAATTTTATTCTGAAAGCAGGTATTCAGACTCTGCATACAAGAACCAATTATCCTAAAAGCACTCATATATATATATATATATATATATATACACAAGTACACTAATCATGACAAAGTCTAAGAAGAATTACACATTAAGTTATAAAGGTATCTTTCTATATTTATTACCACAAATATCAGTGTTATAGCTACCTTCATACCTTTATCTGGAAGTTAAGTAGGGAGAGAAAAGCTTTCACTATTTTTAACATTTCAAAACAAGGTCACAAACCTACAAGTGTTGCTACAACTTAAAACATTGTCTACGTTTATAAAACAAAATATATTATCACTAACGAAACATTGTCATAAATACCATCAAATAAAACAATGTGCTGTAGTAAAATAATAGGCACTCTGTTAACACAGTACTGATATAAAATAGTAGCCACTGTTAACACAGTACTGTTATAAAATAGTAGCCACTCTGTTAACACAGTACTGTTATAAAATAGTAGTCACTGTTAACACAGTACTGTTATAAAATAGTAGCCACTCTGTTAACACAGTACTGTTATAAAATAGTAGTCACTGTTAACACAGTACTGTTATAAAATAGTAGCCCACACTGTTAACACAGTACTGTTATAAAAGAGTAGCCACTGTTAACACAGTACTGTTATAAAATAGTAGCCACTCTGTTTTCATTGATAACACTAAGATTATTAAGGACAATTTTCTATTTACATGTATTTATTTTTAAGTCGTGTACAGTACGTTAATACAGAAGTAGCATAGCCTTAGGATCTAGAATATATTTTTTGTATCTTATCCTTAACAAAAATATGAACACTTACAGATTATCCCTGATGCAGTCCAAAGTGTACACCATATGTTCTCTTGAGGACGTAGAACTGTTTAAGTAAAAGAAATGAGAACTTTTAATATCTTATATAAATATTTATATAAGAAAACTTTAAGAAGTTTTGTATTTGAATACCATGCACACTGACAAATCAAGTCAGGCTTACAGTTGCAAAAGGCCAGTGCTAAACTGGACAAGCTAACAATATTTGAGTTTATAAGTTACTGGTTGGATATATTAACATGTTACGTCCCTGTACAAGTACATAAAAAATAACTGGATCTTAGCTATTGTCCTTGTACTCAGTAATTCTTGTGAACACTATAATTAAATAATTATTAGCAGCAAAGCTAAGCTCAAAATCTTTATCGAGTAGTGTCCAAATCAGCTTTAAGTTATTAACTAATCTTGTCATAAACAAGAGTTTAAATTTAATACCAACTGTTCACTTATGAAAAGTTACCTATCAACATAAGTGATTTTTAGGTCAGATGTGTCCTTTGGAAGAAAGACCACTACAACAGCTTATGTTTGAGAAATTGCCACTTATGGATGTTACAAATAATAAAACACTTACGCCAGGTTTCCACCCATCTGCTCTATGTTTCTTGTGATGCCAAAAATTGTTGAATTTTTTGTTGACTGAAAAAGGTAATGGAAAGAAATAAAGACATTATTAAAAAAAAACTTCTGTATATAGTCATATTTTAACTGGATACTTAATATTACTTGCATAAATAAAGGTAACGGAAAGAAATAAAGACATTATTAAAAAAAAACTTCTGTATATAGTCATATTTTAACTGGATACTTAATATTACTTGCATAAATAAAGGTAACGGAAAGAAATAAAGACATTATTAAAAAAAACTTCTGTATATAGTCATATTTTAACTGGATACTTAATATTACTTACATAAATAAAGGTAACGGAAAGAAATAAAGACATTATTAAAAAAAAGCTTCTGTATATAGTCATATTTTAACTGGATACTTAATATTACTTGCATAAATAAATTTCATATTTTGACTCAGAATTTATTTTTTCTTTTATTAACAATCCTTAGATATACCTTTGATATAATTATGTATGGTGTCAGAACCCTTGAGATAATCTTGGTTTCTGTAGCCTGTTATTGTTACAATTACACCTGTATATTTAACTTGACCAAATTCAGAACACTTTCCTGACCTGTGATCAAGATTCTAGATAACCCAGAACCCCAAGTATTTCATGCACAAATTTTCAAGCTTACATAATAAACATTGTTTCGATAACCCAGAACCCCAAGTATTTCATGCACAAATTTTCAAGCTTACATAATAAACACTGTTTCGTGTAAACAACAGTTGAGCTCATGCATGTCACGTAATTTCACATCTGTGCAAAGACTTTGATGACGTAACTATCAATATAACGAGAACTACTCGACTGACTTGCATATTCTTATCAGAGATGAAAGTGTCCCTTTCCTAAACATCCTGAAAATAATCAAAGCCAAGTAAGGGGGGGGGGGATCCGGCACCCAAAATCCTGCATTGTGATGCATTTTAGAACTTAAAATTCACTTAAACAAGTTACCCCATTTTTTTTACATCAATG